GAGGGATGTTATCAAAGTTATATTTATAATATAATATTAATTGTCTTCCACTTCAAGTTGAATGTGCATATGAGCAGTTGATGGTCTGTTCCATAATCAGCTCTTGGCCTTGTTTTGGCTGAAGATATTGAAATTCTCCATCACCTCTTGCCACAGATGTAGTCAATCTGATTCTTGTGTATTCCATCTTGTGAAGTCCATATGTATGGTTGTCACTTATGTTGTTGAAAAATGGTATTTGCAATGAATAAGTTGTTGGTCTTGCAAAATTCTACCATGAGATCTCCAGCAGTATTTCTATCACCAAGGCCCTATTTTCCAATCACTCATAATTCTTCTGTTTCCAACTTTTGCATTCCAGTCACCAGTGATAATCAACACATCTTAATTGTATGTTTTCTCAATTTCAGACTGCAGAAATTGGTAGAAATCTTCAATTTCCTTATCTTTGGCTCTGGTGGTTGGTGCATAAATTTTAATAATAGCAGTATTAACTTTTCTTCCTTGTAGTGTATGGATATTATCCTATCACTGACAGCATTGTTCTTCAGGACAGATCTTGAAATACTGTTTGTGATAATGAACACCACACCATTCCTCTTCAATTTGTCATTCCTGGCGTAGTATATCATATGGCTATCTGATTCAAAATGGCCAAAACCAGTCCATTTCAGCTCACTAATGCCTAGGATATCAGTCTTTATGTGTGCCTTCTCATTTTTGACAACTTACAATTTTCCTAGATTCATACTTTGCACATTCCATGTTCTAGTTATTAATGGATGTTTGCATTTGTTTCTAGTCCTTTTGAATCATACCACATCAGGCAATGGAGGTCCCAGAAACTTAGCTCTATCCATATCATTAAGATCATCTCTATTCAGCTTTTCTGCAGTCAAATTTTGAGTGGCTTCCGACCTGATGGGCTCATCTTCAGTGCTATATTGGACAATGTTTCAAGGCTATTCATAATTTTTTTCCAGTAATATATCAGATCATATTTAACTTCTGTTCATAAGGTTTTCACTGGCCAATTATTTGAGAAGTGGATGGCCTCTTCCTTCTTCCAAGATTGTCTTAGCCTGGAAACTCCACTGAAACCTTTCCACCATGGGTAGCCCTGCTAGCATTTTGCAACATGGTGGCATAGCCTCTAGCCTCATAGCAACACATAAGCCACCAAAGGACAATGAACTGATAGACAAGTTCACTTGTCTTAGTTGTTCCTAACCGCTTTGCACCTGCCTACCTCAGGCAGTGGCCTTAAAATAGAGCTACCCACAAGGGATAATCAGCCCCCAAGCCCAAGCTTGCCTACCTCATGCCCTGGCCTTAACATAGAGTCACACCCAAGTGAAACGCAGCCTCCAAGCCCCAGGCCTGCCTACCTCAGACTCCGCCTTAAGATAGAGCCACGCACAAGTGAAAAGCCTCCTCCAAGCCCCGGGCCCACCTACCTCAGGCTCCAGCCTAAAAATAGAGCTGCCCCAACAGCTATGCAGTCAAGAAATCAGATATCCTATTGCACTGGAAAAATGTGGTATAAAAGGCCTCTTTAAAGAGTAAAGAACCAAAGATATCACTTTGAAGACTAAGGTTTGCCTATCCTAAGCCATAGTATTGTTATTCACCTCACATGCATGTGAAAGCTGGACAATGAACAAGGAGACCAAAGAGTTGATACCTTTGAATTGTGGACTTGGAAAAAAGTACTGAAAATACCATGGACTGCCAGAAGACTGAACAAATCTGTCCTGGAAACAGTGCAGCTGGAATGCTCTCTGGAAGTAAGAATGACCAGACTTCATCTCATTTATTTTCATCATATTTTCAGAAGGGACCATTCTCTGTAGCAAGATGTCATGCTTGGTCAACTAGAAGGTCAGCAAAAAATGGGAAGACTCTCAATGGGATAGACTGACACAGTGGCTGCAACAATGGGCTCAAGTATAGCAGGAATTTTGAGGATGACACTGGACAGGGTAGTTTTTTGTTCTGTTGTATATAGGGTTGCTATGAGTCAGAGACTACTTGAAAGCACCTAACACCACCAACACAAGTAGGTGAACACTTACATCCCTAAACTATATAAATATTCAGTCACTGGATGGCGCCAACAGTTAAGCACTCAACTAGTAGCCAAATGATTGCCATAGCAATTAGTTTTATGACTTTGGAACAAGTGCAATTTGAAGACACAAAAATACTCTCTTCAATTCTAAACATAAGCATTTCTGCTATAATAATATTTATGCATCCCTTTAAAATACTCTCCTAGGCAAAATCAAGCACTAGAAATAACAAAGCTGTGGAGATAATTTTGTGGAACTAAACTACTAACAAAAATCTATATAACTTTGTAAATAGAGCCTTAGCAAAAACAATAAGAATTCTAGTAAATCTCAGCACATTTAAATCTCCATTAGTGTTTTCTCTCAGCACTTCAATCAATTCTTGGCAGACTTAAATCCTGAGGCTCAGCTCACCTTCCTTCTTCAAGATGTGCATACTTGAGGGCGTGAATTCTCAACAAATAAGTTTTTCTATAAAATTAAATTCTGATGTTTAAAATTATCTTTCTTCACAGATTCTTCAACAGCACTTGCAGCTTCACTAGATGCATTAATGTTACTGTAAGGGGAACGATTCTTAAAAGCATTGACTAATCCACTACTGATACTAAAGGAAGACACCTTAGTAAAATTTCCAGCTTTTTTTTAGGATTTTATTTATTACTAAAGTCTTCTCTTTTTATGGGAGCTCTGGTGGCATAGTGCTTAAGGCATTTGACTGCTAACTAGAAGGCTGGAAGTTCAAACTCACCAGTCCACTCCTTAGATGGAAGATTGGACAATCTACTTCCATAAAGATACCATCTCAGAAAACCAAGGAGGGGTCACTATGAGTCAAAATCGACTTGACAACAGTGAGTTTGTTTTTCAGTTTTCTCTTTCATGACAAAAAGGTCTCCACTAATTTATCACAAAAGTTGTTTTAACCAATGGTAAATCTGGGTTATACTTAGATTATTTTCCTATTTAGTAAGTCTACATGAGCTAGTGCGTGAAATAGAAGCATCTGTAGTGGAAATCTATATTCAAATCTAATGTCTTAACACTCTTCTTCAATTCATAATAATTTTTATTATACCTTTGCTGGCTCCAGCAGCTCTGGTGGCACATTGCCTAACGCATTTGACTGCTAACCGGAACATTGGTGGTTCAAACCCACCAGCCACTCTGTGAAATGAAGACGGGGCAATCTACTTCAATGAATATTTACTGCCTTGGAAACCCAATGGGAGTCACTATGAGATAGACTCAATGGCAGTGACTTTGTTTTCTTGGTTTTTGCTGGGTTATTTTCTGGGAAATATGTATCAATAAATCAAGCACTTTTAAAGTAGATCTGAATGTTATTGTTTTATCTTATTTTCTAGTTACATAAATTTTTAAGTAATATTTTTAGATAGCATGATATTAAGAAAATTTTAAGTAACTTAATATTATTGAAGCTTAATTTTCCTAGTAAAATCTTTATTGTAAATATTGTTTTGCTTCTTTTAAAAAATCTATATACCTTAATAGCAAGAATCAGAAATATTTCAGAAGAAGGTATTATATTATGAAAACATTATAGATACATTTCTACTACTTAGGTAAACATCATGAATGATTTTCCACTTCTGATTGTAGGCACAGCAACAGATCTTGTAGAATCTTTAAAGGAGAAACACTTCTGTTTTCATACTGTGATACTTAGATGTTCTGCAATTCTGCTGGTTCAAAAAGAAGAGTCAAGCAGTCAAATAGTGTTTTTCATAATAATTAGCTAACAAAGTTTCATAAATGAATGTTGAGACTAAGCACGAAAAATACATAGCAAGGGTTGAATATTCTCTGCTTCACATTTCCTTTCCTCAGCCATGATTGCAAATAGGGCAAAGTCTACTCTTTCTCATAGATTCATTGACTAAAGTGAATAACAAAGGAACGATTTGTCCCTTCTCCCAGGAGAGGAAGTAAACATTAAAGCTTTTTTTTTTTCATTTAACAATAATCTGATTTTTCAATTCCAAGTTATGAAGCACTGCAATATAATTAAGAAAGATGTGCAATGATGTAAAAAGTTACAATAAACACTTTGTATAAAAACATAGCTTTAGAAAATTTCACCAAAATAGTTGTTACATTTTGTACATTCAAGTCTAATAGTTCTCTACATTAAATAATTGTAATTAAAATGTAATATATAAAAGTATAGAAAATGGATATCAACTCAGATTATCAGATAGTCTTCATTAATAAAATTCAAGTCAAGGTGAAAATACATAAATATAGGTTCATAATTAACTTTATGTCTATTAAGATTAAAGAAGCACAGAAACAGGTATTGTAGACTGGTCAATTCATCAGAGAAATTTTCTGAAGAAACCCATCAGTGATTAAGTCACAGAAAAATAAAATATTAAGGTTTAAAAGATGAAAAACAATATTTTTTGAAGAATAAAAATGACTTTTACTTAGAAGTTTTACTAGATAACCTGGCTTGGAAAATACAATTTTACTTAGGAAAATTATTGCAGAATAAGCATCTATAGCTAATGAAACATAACAGGAATGAATTTTAAGAAATCTTATAGATCCCACATAACTGAAGGCTAACAACTAATAGATACCATGTCAGTAAAGACAGAATTAACTTGTTTTCCTACTTCCATTTCAACTTTCTCTTTTAGTGAAAGTAAGTCTCTTCTATAGGAAGTATTAAATGTATCTTATAATGTCCTTTTAAAAATGTGAAACAGAGACTATACTATTGTGTTTGTTCTCAAAATAAAACAAAAATTAGAGGATTATATGAGCAACAATCATTTGTTAAACCTGTAGGTAGACCATTGTTGTAAATGTTATTTGCATAATATTTTACTGATTCATTTCAATGAGAGTGTATAATTCTTACATAATGATGATTCAATTGTTTCCTTCTCTTTTTCCTCTTCATTCTTGACCACCTATAGGCAGCATGTCAATGTTCTCTTGAACAGAATGTGAATATGTGTAAAATGCAATAGCAATAAAGCAGATAGAGAGACCTTTGAAAAGAAAACCTGAATTTGAAAAAAAAAATGCAGTTATTAGACATGTCATTTTAATTACAGAAAAAAATGTCTGGAAAAAGATTTCCATTTATCAAAAAAAAAGCAGGTAAATATATTTCATCTCTAAGGGTAATAATTCCCTGATTGTAGAATGTAATTAATGTCATAAATGTGCACCAAATTACTTAAAGGAGATCTAAGTAATCTTTACAAAACCTTTTAGATTTCTTAAACATTTAGGCCACAAAAAATACAAGGTGTATTATTACTTCATACAGTGTGTTAATTCTGAGTCATCAAAATAAATGATTACTTTCAAACCTTAACTATAAATAGGAATAAGAAGCTGTTTAAGTCACTTCCTATAGCTTTACTGCTTTTGAAATATTCATCTTTTCCAAATAGGAATATTTTAGAAAAAGAAATTGATGGAGATTTTTAAATATTTATTTTGTCAATTTCAGAGATTTCATGTATTACCAAGCATTCCATGAACATGCTTGAATTTTGGATGCAAGAAACCTTTGTTAAACTAAAAAATATTTTAGAGAAACCATCCCAATTATCTGATGTAGTGGTTTCAGAAGATAAAATAGAAAACATTGATGCATATGATGAGTAGGGAATTTATAATGACATTCAACATTATTTTATATACATTTAAGAGAAGAATATTCTTTATTTAGTTCTAATAATCTCTGATAGCATTAAAAGATAATAATGATATCATAAATGATATCATTGTATTATATTATTTTTATATTTATGACTGGTATATACAAACACAATTAACTTTATTCTCACTTCCAAGGAGCATTCTGGCAGCACTTCTTCCAGGACAGATTTGTTAGTTCTTCTAGCAGTCCATGGTACTTTCAATATTCTTTGCCAACAACACAACTCAAAAACATCAACTCTTCCTTGGTCTTCCTTATTCATTAACCAGCTTTGACATGCATATGAAACCAGTGAAAACACCATGGCTTGACTTAGGTGCACCTTAGTCTTTAAAGGGACATCTTTGCTCTTTAGCACTTTATGGAGGTCTTTCACAGCAGATTTGCCCAGTGCAATACATTGTCTGATTTCTTCATTGCTTACATTGGTGTTGATTGTGGAACCAGGTAACATGAAATCTTTGACAATTTCAATCTTTTCTCCATTTATCATGATGCTGCTTATTGATCCAGTTGTGAGGATTTTTGTTTTCTCTAAATTGAGGTGCAATTCATACTGCAGATTGTAGTCTTTAATCTTCATCAGTAAGTACTTCATGTCATCTTCACTTTTAGCAAGCAAGGTTGTGTCATCCACATACCACATGTTGTCTTCCTCCAATCTTGATGCCACATTCTTCATATACTCCAGTTTCTCATATTATTTGCTCAGCATACAGATTGAATAAGTATGGTAAAAAGATACAATCCTAACACACTCCCTTCCTGATTTTAAACCATGGAGTATCCCCTTTTTCTATTCAAATGACAGCCTCTTGGTCTATGTACAGGTTCCTCATGAGCACAATTAAGTGTTCTGGAGCTCCCATTCTTCTCAAAGTTATCCATAATTTGTTATGATCCACACAATCAGATACTTTTGCATACTCAATAAAACAGAAGTAAACATCTTTCTGGTATTCTTTGCTTTCAGCCAAGATCCGTGTGACATTCACAATGATATCCCTCATTTCACGTTGTCTACTGAATCCAGCTTGCATATCTGGAAGTTCCCTGTCAATATACTTCTGCAACCAGTTTTGAATTATCTTCAGCAATATTTTACTTGTGCATAATAATAATGATATCGATGGATAATTTCCACATTCTGTGGGGTCACCTTTCTTTGGAATGGGTACAAATATAGATGTTGTCCATTCAGTTGGCCAGGTAGCTGTCTTCCAAATTTCTTGGCATAGACAAGTAAGTGGGATCCTTCAGTAGAAGAAAGGGGTATCATATCATCGTTGATGAGTCATTCGAAAGAAAACTTAAGATATTAGAAATAAAAATCTGAAGGATCCCTGGCTATTAAAAGAAACTGATAGAATAAAATTTTTATTAACTTTTAAAGTGATAAAAACTTTTGAGGATCTGATAAATACCATGGCCTTTCTCACCAGTGGGGTGAGGGGTGGGGAAGAACTTGTAAACTAATAAAAGCACAAAGCAAATTTTAGGAACTCAAAAATATACTGAAGTTCATGTAGGCTCCTATGATTCTTGAATCACTGTTGAAGAATCCATGCTCTAGAGTTGTTGTTATATGCCTTCAAGTCAGACCCAACTCATAGCGACCCCTCCTTGGGTTTCTGAAGCACTATCTCTATGGAAGTAGATCACCCAACCTTCCTTCTGAGGAATGGCTGGTGGGTTTGAACTTCCAGCCTTCTGGTTAGCAGTCAAGTGCCTTAGGCACTAGAGTATTGATGTGCAATAGAACTTTCTGCTATGATGGCAGTGTTCTACATCTGCACTATCCTGCAGAGTAGCCACTAATCAAATGTGATCATTAAGCACGTGAACTTAGCTAGTGTAACTGAGGAACTGAACTTTTAAATGTATTTAGCTTTAATAAATTTAAATAACCACATGTGGTTAAGGGCTACCATATTGAATAGTGCAGCTTTAATGTCTCTCAACATAGTTGTTTTTGATGTTTATTTTTCCATTTGCTGTCAAGTCGATTTTGACTCATGATGACCCCATATGTGTCAGAGCAGAATTGTGCTCCATAGGTTTTCACTGCCTGATTTTTCTGAAGTAGATCATCAGGGCTTCCTTCCAAGGTGCCTCAGGGTGCCTCCTACATTTTGGTTAGCAGCTGAGCACATTAACTTTTCTTGCACCACCCAGGAACTCTGGTCAAAATATATTGTAGTTTAAATCACTCAAAGTGGCTTTATTAGAAATACAAATGCCTACTACCAATTCCTAAGTTTCTAATTCATAGCCTTGGAATTTATATTTTAAAAAAGCAGTCAAATTGATTCTGATTGAAATGATTTGTGGAATACACTTTGAAATATGCTAGTTTACACTAAATTATCACAAATGCATACTCTTATTGCAGTTTCCTCTCTTACTCTTTTTTCCTCCCTGACTATAATTCTCCATGTTCTTTTATTATTGTTATCTCCTTTTAATAGCTCTTTATCAGGACATCTGGTATCTCAATCATTCCCTAATTTTTGAAAATAGCTAAATATTGTAGTTGTAACTACAATAAAAATAAAAAGGCTTACAATGTCCTGAGAGGCTTTCCTTAAGTACAATACCTACTTTTGTTGAATCACCTCTGGGAAATTAATTTTGACTTCCTACATGTCATTTTGATTCCTGATACTTTTAAGCTTACTGAATAATTGATTTCTGAATTAGAAGGCATTGTTATATATTATTTATGAAAAAGATACTTGTTATTGTTAAATATTAGAGTCTATCATTAGATGGTTCTTTGAATTACTGAATCCATTCAGTAAAATCATAACAATTTTTTTAAAAATTTTATCACTCAAATAATATTTGTACAATAATATTCACTCACTCACTGCCATCGACTCAATTCCAACTTTGGTGATCGCCAATGTATTTCCAAGGCTGTAAATCTTTACAGAAGCAGACTGCCTCATCTTTTTTCCATGAAGTATCTGGTGGGTTTGAGCCTCCAACTTTCTGGTTAGCAGTCAAATGCTTTAACCACTACACTGCCAGAGTTCCTTTACAGTAATGTTAGATTTGACAAAGGCTTCAGAAATTATGGAGTTCAGTAGTTTTATTTGATATATAAATAAAATGGATCCAGAGAGATTCAGAAAATTTTCAAAAGTAACACAAGTTTATCTGGACTTTCATAATATCGGTATTCCCTGTATCTTTTATTTAAACAAATACTGAATACTTGCTATGTGCTGTTCCAAGCACTGAGGATACATCTTTGAGTAAAATAGACAACATCAAATTTACATTTGAGTAGGATAAGATAATCTCGATGCTCCTTAATGGTGTAAAAAGTTTATACCATTTTGTAGCCAACCTTTTTACTGGGGAAATGGGAAAGGTCAGAATGTCATGCAATTTGGTTGTACACCTGTAAAGACAAAATTACTTTCTATATTAAAATGGTGCTACTTATCATCTTTAATAGGTGATAATAAGACACTTATTTATCACCAGTCATCTGTCAGTTTGATATACTGTAGTGGCTTGCATATTGCTGTGATGCTGGAAGCTCTACCTCCAGTATTTTAAATATCGGCAGGGTCACCTGCAGGACAGGAGACAATAGAACAGGTTTAAGTAAAGCTTCCAGTCTAAGACTGACTGGGAAGAAAGACATAGCAATCTACTTCTAAAAATACTGTCTAGGGAAAAACCTTATGAATAGTAGTGGAACACTATCTGATACGGTGCTGAAACATAAGCCCCTCAAGTTGGAAGGCACTCAAAGAGCTACCTCCTAAAAGTAGAGTCAACATGGGGAATGCAACAAATTTCATGGAACACTTTAGGTACAAACTATAGAATGAGAAACAAATTTGCTCTGTAAAATCTCACCTAAAGCACAATAAAAAAAAAAATAAAAATAAATAAATGTCGATTGGACCTTAATGACTTCAACAGGGTAAAATTTTCAACCTTCATTTGCTGCTATGTTATGACTCAACATGAGAAGAAAAAGCTGTAAACATTCATTCATAATTAAAACACAGAATGTCTAAAATATGACTCCAGAAAAATTGGATCTTTCAAAAATGAAATGGAATGCATAAAGATCACTATCCTAGGCATTAGTCAGCTTAAATAGAATGGTATTGGCTTTTTTGAATTGGACAGTTATATGGACTACTGTACTAAGAATGGTAAAATTGAAGAGGAAAGGCATCACATTCATCTTCAAAAAAGAACATTTCAAGACCTGTGCAGAAGTACAACCCTGTTATCCACAGTATAATATGCATACACTTACAAGGCAGACAAGTATTCATATGACTATTATTCACATTAACCCACTAACCACTAGTGCCAAAGAAGAAGAAACTAAACATTTTACCAACTTCTGTAGTCTTTAATTAATCTAACTTACAATCAAGATGCATTGAAAATTACTGGTGATTTAATGCAAAAGTTGGAAACAAAGAAGGATCAGTAGTTGGAAAATATGGGTTGCTTATAGAAATGATGCCAGTGATAGCATGATAGAATTTTGCAAGACCAAGGCCTTATTAATTACAACTATCTTTTTCAGCAACATATAAGGCCAAGGAGGGGTCGCTATGAGTCAGGTTCGACTCGACGGCACATAACAACAACAACAACAACATAAATGTAAATCTCACTGGATGGGACACAGGAATCAAAATGACAACATCTGTGGGAAGAGGTGATGGAGAAGTTCAATATCATCAGTCAGAACAAGGCCAGGGGGCTGACTGCAGAATAGACTATCAACTGCCCATATGCTAGGTCAAGCTGAAGCTGAAAAAAATTAAAACAAGTGCCTAAGAGCCAAAGTATGACCTAGAGAATATCCCATCAAGAAAAGTTGATTTGATGCACTGAACTGTAATGCCCAAAGACTAGATGGGCTGTGGGATGACATGAAAGACATCACACATCACACACAGTGTCATTAAAGAGACAGGACAGAAAGAAAAGACTGAAGTTTAGACTCTGAAACTAGCTCTGGAACAGAGAGTAGCTAAAGCAACTGAAGAAATGACGAAGAGCTGAACAGAAGATTTCTAAGGGCACGTTAAAAAGACAAAGTAAAGTGTTATAATGAATTGGGCAAAGACCTGGAATTAGAAAAACAAAGGGAAGAACACACTTGGCAATTCTCAAGCTGAAAGAATTAAAGAAAAAATTCAAGCCTCGATTTGCAATATTGAAAGATTCTATGGACAAAATATTGAATGACACAGGAAACATTGAAGAAGACAGAAGGAATACAGAAAGTCACTCTCCAAAAAGAACTGGACGGTAGTCAACCATTTTGGGAAGTAGTATATGATCAAGAACTGATGGTACTGAAAAAAGAGTCCAAAGTGTACTGATGGCACTTGCCAAAAACAAGGCTCCAGGAATTGATGGTATCCTAATTGAGATATTTTAACAAATGGATACAGTACAGGAAGCACTCATATGTCTATGCCAAGAAATCTTGAAGACAGCTACCTATTTGGTTAATTGATTGGAAGAGGTCTATGTTTGTGTCCATTCCAAAGAATGGATATCCAACAGAATGTGGAAATTATCTAACAATATCAATATTATATGCAAGTAAAATTTTATTGAAGACAATACACAAAAATTTGCAGCAGTACATCACAGGGGAACTGCTAGTAATTCATGCTGAATTCAGAACAGGACATGGGACAAGGGATATCATTATAGCTGTCAGATAGATCTTGGCAAAAAGCAGAGAATACCAGAGAGATGTTTATCTGTGTTTTGTTGACTATGCAAAGACATTTGACAGTGTGCGTCATATTAAACTATTGGTAACATTGCAAATAATGGGAATTCCAGAAAGCTTAATTGTGCTCATGTGGAACCTGTACAGAGACCAAGAGGCAGTCATTGGAACCAAATAAGGGGCTACCAGGTGGTTTAAAATCAACAAAGGAGTACATTAGGATTGTAACCTTTCACCATATGTGTTCAGTCTGTACACTGAGTAAATAATCTGAGAAACTGGACTATAGGAATAAGGATGCAACATCAGGATTGGAGGAAGATTCATTAACAACCTGCAATAGGTATATGACACAACTGCTTCCTGGGAATGAATAGAATTTGAAGCACTTATTGATTAAGATAAAGCACTTCAGTCTGGATTATTTTTATTTTTTTTTAGGTGCTCTTGGGTCAGCTCCAACTCATATAGACTCTGTGTACAACAGAATGAAACACTGCTCAGTCCTTCACCATCTTCACAATCATTTCTTTATCTGAGCCCATTGTTGCAGCCACTGTGTCAGTCTGTCTCATTGAGTGTCCTGCTCTTTTCGGCTGACCCTCTACTTTACCAAGCATTGTTGTTCTTCTCCAAAACAGGTAAGTACGGGTTATATCTCAACATATGCAAAACAAAATCCTCACAAATAAGCCAAAAAGCAACATCATGATAAATGGAGATGAAGTAGTCGAGGATTTATTTTACTTAGATCCACAATCAACACCCATGGGAACGGTGATCAAGAAATCAAATGATGTACTGCACTGGGCAAATTTACTGCAATGATCTCTTTACAGTGTTAAAAAGCAAAGATGTCTCTTTGAGGAATAAGGTGTGCCTGACCTATGCCATGGTGTTTATAATAGCCTTATGTTCATGTGAGAGCAGGACAACAAAAAAGGGAGATTAAAGAATTGATGCCTTTGAATTATGGTGTTGGCAAAGAATATTGAATATACCAGACTGTCTGAAGAATGAAAAAAATCTGTCTTGGAGGAAGTAAGCCAGAATGATCTTTTGAAGGGAGAATTGAGAGACTTCATCTCATGAACTTAGACATATTATCAGGAGGGGACCATTCCCTGATGAAGGATACCATGTTTGGTATAGTAGAGAGTCAGTGAAAAAGAGAAAGACCTTCAAGGTGATGGATTTACGCAGTGGCTCTGACAACAGGCTCCAAAATAGCAACAACTATGAGGTTGGCACAGAACCAAGCAATGTTTCACTCTGTTGTCTATGGGGTCACTATGAGTTGGACCGACTCCATGATACAATAACAATTATAGAATGATATATAGTACTATTGTGCATTTAATTCACTGACTAAAATATTTACATAAATATGTTGTTGTTGTTGTTTTGTGTCGTCGAGTTGGACCTGACTCATAGCGACCCCTCCTTGGGTTTCTGAGATAGTATCACTATGGAAGTAGATTGCCCCATCTTCCTTCCGAGGAGTGGCTGGTGGGTTTGAACCACCAGCCTTCTGGTTAGCAGTCAAGTGCCTTAGGCACTATGCTACCAGCACTCCTAAAATAAATATAGTAGTACTTTAGTTTCTAAAATTTATTCTATATAATTAATAAGACTTCTTTATTGTTCAAAATATCTATTTGTTCATGATTTATTATTACTCAAAACATGTATAAGCAAACCTACGGTTTTTAAACTATTTTACTTCCCTACATTTCTCAATAGATATTACTTACATATCTCTACCAATAAGGAGGCCATTTTCAACTTGTTATAAATCCGACAACTTCCTGCAAATCCACAAGTCCCAGTATCATGGAAGGTACAAGAACTTTCTTCTATCATTCTAATAAGGAATGGCCCAGGAATAGTCCCTGTAAGAAATGCAGTTACTGTAAATTCTCCATGAAAATGCTATAGTATATAACCAAAATAATTTTTATGCCAAATTTAAATTTACATATGCATGTGGGCATGTTTGTATATGTGACTGTTTGACAGTGCTGTTGTTAGTTCTGTTGAGTTGTTTACAACTTATGGTGACAGAGTTACAACTTATGGTGTGAAGCATAGCACTGCTCCATAGGGTTTTCAAGGCTGTGTCCTTTGGTATTAGATCATCTGGTGGGCATCACAAAGAGGGTTTTTTTATTTTTTTTTT